GGAGCCAGTGCTGCCCACTGTGGCATAGTGGGGGGCTGTCTGCTCTGTGACCCGGGGTCCCCCTGCGCTGGGATGGGAGATTCTCACTGACTCTCCCACGTGTGGATTAACCCAGACACCCCGGCTCAGCCTCCCAGCGAGAGGCAAAGGGAGGAAAGCGGAGACCAGCACCTGGCTGGGGGGCAGAGCTGGAAGAGAGTGGAGCCAGTGCTGCCCACTGTGGCATAGTGGGGGGCTGTCTGCTCTGTGACCCGGGGTCCCCCTGCGCTGGGATGGGAGATTCTCACTGACTCTCCCACGTGTGGATTAACCCAGACACCCCGGCTCAGCCTCCCAGCGAGAGGCAAAGGGAGGAAAGCGGAGACCAGCACCTGGCTGGGGGGCAGAGCTGGAAGAGAGTTTTAGTTTCTGGCTGGTATCATGGAGGAAGCAGCTAAGCAGGCTGGGATTTAGGGGCCCCGTCTCCCCCATCTCAAGGGGGGCTGAGGCATCCTAGGCCTGCCCTGGAACCAGATGACATCTGTGCTGTGCTGTGTCCTGGAGAAGCAATAAACTCCCCCATGCCACTACGGGGGTGCAGCAGGCGGGGGACCCTGACATGCTGCCCCACCCAGGCCTTGCTGTCCCGTCCCAGCAGCGGTGACCACAGGCACACGCAGCTGCCTAGAGCACCACGAAATCTGGAGCCTCTAGTCGGCTTGTTCCCTCTTTCACCTTGTCCCCTCGAAACGTCTTTCCTGTTCTGCTGCTGCCGAATACGCCTCACTGTCTGGAACCGCTCCCAGGCACTTTCCTCATCTCGGTCCATGGCTCCCGTTCGCTGCTGCCGTAATTCTTCCCCCTTGCTCCTTGCACACTCCAAAGACACCCAAAGGGCGTTGCCTGCTGCGCCCCAGATCGTACGCCCGAGAGGCCGAAGGAGCTGGAGTGCTGTGCAGAGAGGTTTGTCTCGGGGCTTGTATGGGGCCTGCCAGGCAGAGTCTCTGAAGCTATGTCTGCCCGACAAGCTAGGACATGATTTCTCCTGTTGTGGCGAGTAGGAAGTGTCGCAGTGGAGAGGCCGGGCAGGCGCCGCTTAGCCGTGCTGAGTATGTGCCCCCGGGTTTCCGATGGGTTCATACTCAGCATGGCAAAGCGGCACTTCCCTGGATATACTTGTGCGAGCCCGAGTGTGTGCACACAGGCATGGGCGGCCGGTGTGCAAGGCAGGGTAAGGCTTTGCCTTCCTACACCGCCAGCCTGGCCCCGCCCTCACTCCGCCCCCAGGGTGCCTGCTGTAGGTGTATTGGGGGCTGGAGTTGGGACGTAGTGGGGGTACCTTGCTGGTTGCTATGCTGGGCTGTGGGTGACCCCCACTGGCTGCTGGCTGCAGTAGCTGATGGGACAGGAAGGTACCTGTTCTACCAGTTACTCCCCATGGAGAGGAACAAAGGAAGGTGGATGCTGCCCCTGGCTGGGGGGCAAGGCTGGAAGAGAGGTAGTTTCTGTCTGGTATCATGGAGGAGACAGCCTAGGGAAGGGGGCTGGAATTTAGGGGTCCAGTCTCCCCCATCTCAAGGGGAGCCGAGGCATCCTAGGCCTGCCCTGGAACCAGCTTACATCTGTGCTGTGCTGTATCCTGGAGGAGCAATAAACTCCCTCTGTTCTACTGGCTGGGGGAGTCTGTTCGTGCCGCTATGGGGGTGCAGGAGACGGGAAAACCCCAACGCACCATCACAAGTGTTGCTACCCCCAGTGCCTGCCCTCCCATTGCCGGGGGAGGGGGACAGTGTGCTGCCCTGCCTCCTGTGGCGTGGGGGAAGGGGGCAGAGAGGAGGCTTGGCTTTGTGGGGGGCGGTGCCTCAGCACAGGGGGCGGGGCTGGGGGCTTGGCTCCCCTAGCCCTACCTTCCCCCACCGCCCATGCACACGCTGGAATCACAGCCCTCGCTCGCCAGGTTGACTTCTCCCTTGACACCAGGTGCCGCACTCAGCCTCCGGCGGGAGGAAGTAGCCTGTTTCATTTCGCCAGGACGCCTCCATCCCCGTGAAGGAGCAGCCTCGAGCCGGGCCCTCTGGTTCAGTTCTCCCTGGCCCCCAGGGTATGAGCAATAATGGAAGTGGGTCATGATCGCCTGGGCTGCAGGTGGGGCTACATCCCAGCCAAAACCACCCCAGAACAGCCAGCTGGTTGCCGGCCTTTGGTTTCAGCCAAGGAAAGCCACGTTTGAGTCACAAAGTTCCCAGGCGGCGCTGCTCTTTGGCTGCCCCTGCGCTGTACGGAGCCATGCCACATCAATTTGCATAGAGATGTCACCTGGCCTAGCCCCGAGTCAGATCTGAGGAGGAAAGTTAGTCATGGGCTTAATTGTATTAGGAGCGAATCGAGCCTCCAGGGCCACCCGCCATGAGCAAAGCTGCAGCTGCTGTTTACTGACTGCAGGCTAGCCTGGTTACAGGAGACACTGTCTACATCTGTACTATCCGCTTAGTGTCAGAGAGATCGTCTGTCAAGGGGACGCTCTGCCTTGCCAGAAGCTGATGGGCTCCAGGGATTTGACAGGGCTGTTCCACCTGGCTGCAGCGGGCTGTGTCGCTTTCCTGCCGCTTCTCAGAGCTGTTCATTACCAGTGATGCCCGAGCCAGTCATGGTCCTTCGCTACCTCTGCAGTCGACAAGGAAGGAAAGCGTAGATCCCCCGGTTATCGATTCATAGAGTCCACGGCCAGAAGGGACCACTGTGATAGCCTAATTGGACTTAGTGTGTAACACAGGCCAGAGACCTCTCCAAAATAATTCCTAACGCAGATCTCGGTACACGGCCAGCAATAGAGAATTCAATTCCTCACCACCCCCAAATCTTTCCCAGCATCGCGGGAGCCCCCTATCCTGTAAGCATGGCCTGCAGCCTTTGTTCCCAGACGTGCACAGTTACATTTAGCTGCATGGACAGGTGTATTGTTTGCTTGTGCCCAGTTTTCCAAATGAGCCAGATTGCTCAAAAGCAGAGATTTGTCTTTTCTATTTACTACCCCCCCCCCAGTTTGCCGTCTGCAGACTCTACTAATGATGATTTTATGTTTTCTTTCAAGTCATTGATAAAAATATTAAATGCCATAAAATCAAGAACTGTCCCTGTGGGTTATCAGAGGATGCTCAGTGACAATTCCCAACTCTCAGTTATATTTTGAGATCTGTCGCTTAGCCAGATTTCAATCCATTGAATGTGTGCTGAGTTCATTTTACAGAATTACAGTTTTTTTAATCAAAATGGCATGTGGTGTCAAATCAAATGCTTTACCGAAATCTGTTACGTCAGTGCCGTTACTTTTATCAACCCACTTGGAATCTCATTACAAAATCAAATTAGTTAGATAAGATCTTTATTCTATAAACCCATGTTGATTTGCATTAATTACATTACACTCCCTAATTTCTTTATTCATTAAGTCCTGTGTCACCCACTCCATTATCTTGCTCAAGGCTGACAAGATACTAACATTACTTGGGCCATCCCATTGACTCTTCCTAAAAATTGGCACAACATTCGCTTTCTTGCAACCTTCTCACGTGCTCCAATTCTTATTGAAAAGCAACGGGAACAGTCCAGCAAGCTCAACTACTTCTCTTAATACTCTTGCATGCAAATTATATCCTGCTTATTTGCAAATGTCTCACGTCAGTAGCTGCTGTTTAGCACCTTCCAGATGGAGTGGAGAGTGTAGTAACATCACCATATGATGAGACTACACCATCTGGTTTGTGTCCAATACAGAACAGAAATATTTATTGAATGCTTCTGCTTTTTCTGTGTTGTTAGTGATAACTCTACTGTTCTCAGTGGTGACAGATGCAGAACAAGGAGCAATGGTCTCAAGTTACAGTGTGGGAGTTCTAGGTTGGATAGGAGGAAAAATGATTTCCCTAGGCGGGTGGGGAAGCGCTGGGCTGGGTTCCCTAGGGAGGGGGTGGAATCTCCATCCCTAGAGGTGTTTAAGTCCCGGTTTGACCAATCCCTGGCTGGGATGATTGAGTTGGGTTGGTCCTGCTTTGGGCAGGGGGCTGGACTCGATGACTCCTGAGGTCTCTTCCAGCCCTATGATTCTATGAACTCTAACCTATCCATCTAGTAATGGACCAATTCCATTTTCAGGATTCTTTTGGTTCCTAGTATATTTTTAAGACCTATTGTCTTTAGCTCTGCTGACCCCAGTTTACTCCTTAGCGG